GAAAAACCGTCATGAGTCGTGAGAAAGAAAGATATGGGATAGAAAGAGAGATACTGGAGGTAGAGTAGAGGCTGATCTGTGACCTGCCGTTGCACACTGAGTTGAGATGACTCTAGCTAGTGTGTTTAAACCCAATAGAGGACCTGAGTGAGAGCAAGACCTGGCCAATAACTTTACCCATAATTCATAACAGGGAGGCAAACTAGCATGAAGGCATTTCAAAACAGCAGGTATTTAGCTTCAGCCAAATTTAAAATTTAAGGCAGCATTGCAGAAAGCCAAAGCAATGCTAGAATGATCTGCAACCCCAAAAATTATTTTTAATTTTGCATAATAAAATGTAAACACACACACACACACACACACACACATATATATATATATATATATATAAAATTACAATTATGTATATGTATATACAGTGCTTTATACATTTAAATTAATAATTAGTAATTGAATATGTGTGTGTGTGTGTGTGTGTATAAATAGGATGTATTAAACATTTTAAATATATTGCAATGGAAAAAATAACAAATAATCACACACACACACACACACACAGAGAGAGTGTATTAAACATTTTAAATAATATAGTATTTTAAAAATATATATAGTATTTTAATACAGTATTTTTTAAAGATTCTATATATATGGTGTATTATACATATACATTTTAAATAATATATATATTATTGTGTGTGTATGTGTATATACATACACAATATTATATATATTATACTGTATTATTCAAAATGAGTATTACATATTTTAAACAATATTTAGTTATTTATACATACTTTATATATATATATAAAAAATAATTGCTATGTATGTGTGTGTGTGACTGATGTAATAAATATGTATATAAATTGCTATATATTATTTAAAGTGTATAACATATACACACATGTGTATTACACATTCATATATATATATACATATATATATTGTATTATACATTTTAAATAATATATATAAATTTACAGTATATATTATACATTTTATTATACATTTATACATAATATATATGTATATATTTATAAAATTCAATATATTTAACGCTCTGACTCTTGTAACATGAGTGGTATTTCTTACACATTTATATATTAAATAAACTAAAGGAATTATATTGAAATAAAATAAAAATACTATAATACTATTATACTATGTAGGCGTTTTCCACAAGCTAACGCAAATATTGATCTGTAAAACCTTTAATGTCCTTTCTGCAGTTAAGTGCGACCTCCCCGACCCCCCTCAAAAACTCAATGTGAGTAAATAAATAATAAATTAACAATACGTTTTTCTGCTGCTTGCCTTCAGGAGCCCTGAATTAAGACCTCTGACCTACAGAAGCATCTGTGAGGCCACATGCACATCTCCCATTCTATCTTCAAACGGAGAAAAGGGGAACTACAGCACAAAGAATCTGCAGGTTTTGAAAAGGGACAAAAATGCTGGAGGGGAAGTCAAAGAAATGGAGAAATGACAAGAGCCTTGGATGGACAGAAGCAGTTAGGATGATGGTGGGGGCAGCCATAGTTCAACACTGAGAGATGGAGAAACATATCAATAGGGTGGAGGCCTTGAGTGAGATGAAAGACCCCCAGAGAGAAGGAGAGGCCCCCGAACAACAGGGCTGGTGTGTGTGTGTGTGTGTGTGGATTTCTGTATTCCATATAGGCCGTAAACCTCTTATGATTACCCCCCTTCCCCCCTAAAATTGTATAGCTGGGATGGCTTCCATCACGTCTCTATGGCAACATGGAGTGGCCCAATGAGGGGATTGAAACAGCATTTAAGAGTCACAGAGCACAGACTGACACATCATAGATAGATAGATAGATAGATAGATTCCTATTTTTTTGTTTGATTTTCAGAGATAAATATGACCAGAACACTTAACTGAGGGTCAATTTCCTAGCTTTGTTTTTATAGGTGGTTCATTTTTCAAATAAATTCATTAATTTACATAATGCTTTATTCCTGAACTGAACGTGTAGATCATCTGTGTGCTGAAATGCACGTTAGTGGACAGCTGTGAGCTGGATACCTCTGGTGTCCCGCAGTAAGATGGACAGTTGACATGTGACCCCTGTGGAAGCAGGGTCAAAGGTCAACAGGGTCATAGAGGGTCAAGCTACAAGTAATTATCTGACCAAGCTAAAGCACGACACTGATTACAATGGCAGATTCTCTATCTATCTATCTATCTATCTATCTGGTCTCTCTGACCGACAGGAGCGTGTACAGACAGCTGGTCTGTCATCACACCCTCGTCCTCTCCTCTTCCTCCAGGCCCACGGCCACTGGCACGAGTCACGACAACTATTATCCATCAAATCCAAACCGACAGCACTCCAACCCTGAAAAACAAAGACTGCGAACACCGTCCTGGACCAAACAGATTATTCTGAGCCCTAAACATTGCTTTTCTGATCTCGTCCCATGCAAACATCTTTCCTGACACCTGCTATAAAGCTTGTGGGCTAATTTATGCAGGACACACATTCACTCTGGACTGGCAGGGAGCCGCTGCCCCATATTCTGTCCTGACAAATTCTCCATCTGGCATCAATTACATAACAGAAAACCAGGGAATCGAGGTTTAAACACAGCATTCATATAAACACGGATATTATTAATTTATGATGCTAATGAATTAGCTTTAGCGTAATTGAGAATAAATGAAAAAGTGCATATTTTGAATAGCCTACGCAAAGGCAATTTTAAGTCACAAAACTGCTATGACAGTTATTAATGAGGTATTATTAAAATCGTATTAGTTTTGAGTGATGAGGTCGTTTGTATCCAACACCTACTGTCTTAATTGCATGGAAATGAGCCAAGCACAGACACACTACAATAAAACTAAACAAAGGTTAAATGTGTTTGAGAAAGATACCAGAATATTGCTATGACAAAAATGACCATAAAGCGTCCAAAAATGACTACATTTGTCAAAACGTTAAGTACACAGCAGAACAAACCTCGATACTATTCGTTCATGTGACAAATAAAACGTTAGGTTACTTGCGTAACCCCGGTTCTCTGATAACAGAAGTGAGGTATCTCACTATGGGAACGCCTCAGGCGTGACCGACTGCGGAAGCACCAATTACACCACGTCTGTCAGACTGACAGACCAATCGCTGCAGCGATCAGATGTTGTCTGATCTGATCAGCACATGAGATCCCTGAAGGAAATGAATAAAGTGGTTTAAGGCTAGTAGCACCGTTAGTAGTTCCAGGTAATTTATGTGGTTTTCCCTCTGAGAAGGAGACCACACCCCCCGCACCGCTCTGCCTTCGAACACTGCACCCGAGCCCGTATTCGTGACTTGTTATGCGATTGTGCTCTCAAAGGTTAAGACATTTTTTTACACAAAATTAGATAAAATATTTAATATTTAATAATAACACGTCACGCGGTCGTGTGAAAATAAAACACCCATCGCTAGAGTGTCTCATGTGATTAGGCAGCATTACAGTGCAGTTCTCAGTGAACAGCGGAGTTCCGCCTCAGAATGTGCGTACAGTGGCGCCCTCTGGTGGTTCTTTGAGGAGTTACAGTATCGTATGCTGTGCCACGTCTCTCTGCTGCAACTTTCTTGTTTTCTGCTCGAGGTATAGTGCACCTATTTCGTTTAAGGTTGAATGACATCATGCTCATTTTGTTGTTGTTGTTTGGATCTATTATTTAGAACTTAAATACGCGCCTTCTTTGATGTACGTGTTTTCTGAATGAAATTAAAAGTAAATTTGATTCTGACGTTTTTTTGGTCCACAGATGGCAAAAAGGGGAGAATTAAAATCGCAAAAAGGGAGAAATATAGTCATTATATATATACAGTTTTTAAAAAAATGTATGCTTCTCAAGTTAAATTGAGTAATATCAACATACAATATTTTAATAAGTATTCACGCACGGTTTATAAATATATGATCAGATATATTAATGATTTCATTCATTTTAAAAATATTTTTATTAACATTACATACTATTTTATATAACATTGTAGGCCTATAACGTTTTCTCAGCTCAAACAGATTTTAATACAACTTAAATGCATGAAAACCAACACCAATGCAAAGATGGCATTTCTAAGAACATGGCATACGCATTTTAAATTGGATTTTTATTTCTCCTTTTTTAATCATCTCTCACATCTTCATTTGTCATTGAACCCTGAACGTTGTTTGGACGTTTATAATCTTGACAGACCTTTCAAAGCATTTCCTGCTGAATGTGTCTCTTAAAATTCCGGTTGGATAAAAGGTTTCCGCATCACACGAGAATGAGTGAGTGTGTGTGTGTGTGTGTGTGTGTGTGTGAGAGAGAGAGAGAGAGAGAGAGAGAGAATGTACCTGCATGCTCTGCTCCGTTAAACCGCCCACATTCTGTCCAACGTTTCCGCTTTGAATCTGAATGAAAGCACTTGTTTCTTTGTTAGATTTCAGACAGGTGCGTGAACAAACACCTCCGGTGTAATCCGGGCTCGACTGAACATCCGGTTTGAGCAGGTCTACACGGAGTTTTGTGACCCTCCGTAAAGAAAAGCCCGTCTCTGTGGATCTGCATGGATTCGTGGACCAACCGGAATCTGGGAATGACTTTGACAACATTCAGAAAACCCACACAAGAACAAGATTATATATAATATAGATTATATTAATTCACCATCTTTTTATTCATATTTTTTGCTCTTTCCACATCCGTTTTCTGCTTTATTGCTGTATTAACAAATAAGTTCCTTTTTCACACACACATATATATATTTTTAATTTTATAACTTATTTTCATATGCTTTCAAATTGGCATATTTGTTTGTGTGGGAATTTTTTTTTTTATTAATTAATTTTTTATATTGTTTTTAAACTATTGTCCTGGTGCTTATTCCTTTATTTTGTTCTGGTCACTATTAAAGCTATTTTAGCCAAAAAGTAGTAAATTCTTGATGTTTATAATCAATAAGAACGTTAAAGAGGTGAAAAACCGTTGTGTAAACATTTATTGGTTTTCAAACTGAGATAAAAACAACTTGCACCAGCAAACATTTGACAGCCTTTCACAGTCCACACATCTCGCAGAGAAAATAAAATAAGGGGGGAAAAACACAAGAAAGAGTAAAGGGGAAAAAGACGTGAGAGAGTGCAAACTTTTATTCCAGTGACTTTTAATGAGAGAAGAATTCTAAAAACCCATAAGTGGACTGTTGTCCATCGTCCCACAGACAGGAAATGAGAAAGCAAGCGATAAAACCTTCCGTTTGGCCGCTGCGCCGTTTCCATCAACGTTTAAATTAAGTAAAAAATTCAAAAACACCCAGTCCACACACTGGAGAGCCAAAAGCCGAGAAGACTCTCGGATGAAGAAGAAAAAAAAAAAGACTCGCTTATTTGGATTCGGCTACAGTATAAATTACACATTTTTGGACGTTGTTTTTCTGGCTTAGTCGTTGTTCGGCATAAACAGTGCATCCCTGCTCAAAGGCACAAGTCGAAAAGTGTTCCCTTGTGTCCCGTCTTCACGTTCATGGGTCAGTTGTAGCATGTTTGGTTGTTTATTTCCATTCGCTTAAGAAAAAAAACCCGCTTATTTTGTATGATGTGCCATTTGCGGGAAAAAAAAACAACAAAAACCCCAAACAACATGCTCCGGTTTCAGTTTTGCGATCCTGGTCTATTCAAAATGAACAGAAGAACAAGCCAAACATGTCTCATTTGAATTCGTTTTGGTTTTGTTTCAATAACAAAGCTAGATAATTCATCTGAAACCGTGAAAGAACAATTTAACTACAACATTAGATTTTTTTTTTTTAACAAACTAGCGTGAAAACCCCATTCGAAAGTAACAAACCCGTTTTGATCAAGCTATAGTGGTGCAAAAACAAACAAAACAAAAAAAAAAAAGCAACAAAGCCAGGAAGGTGTGACTGAAATAGCAGGAAGTGAGCCTGAGGCAATGGTGGTGATTGGTGGAAAGAGAGGAAGAGGCGTGGCCTCACTGAGAGCTGGATCTGGCGAGCGTGTGCTGTTCGTTAAGTTCCTTGCTAGTTCTCAGTTTGAATTTGGTGATGGAGCTGTTGAGTTTTTGAAGCGCGCTCTGCGCTGTGTATTTCGACGGGAACAAGGCCAGGATGGTGTATGTGGACGCCAGGTCATGAGGGGGTGGTTTGGGAGGGTCAGAGTTCGTAATGTCCGCTCCCTCTGATTGGCTGGGGGATGGAGGTTTGGGCAGCCATTTTATGAGAGCGCCAACTTTGCTCAGTTCTGCCAGTAAAGAGTCTGCTTCCACTCGACTGATGCCAGCTGGAAGGTCTGTCACCTCCAAAACACGGCCGGAGTCTGGATGCACAGAAAACATGTGAGTGAAAAACTGATCGTGTTTAACAAAAGCCATAGTGATACATGCACTTTTTCGATTAACTTGAAAAATGTTCAGTTCTTTTAATAATTTTTTGTACTATTATTATTATAAATGCCATTATTTAAAGGTACATTTTATTACAAGTTTTAATTTAATTTCACTACATTACATTTTAATACCAATTTTAATACCAGTATTGCAATACCAAATGTTTTTATATATATTTATATACATTTTAAATATATAATTAATATACATTCATTTATATTTACATATTTAATATATCTCAATATTTCTGTATTTATTCATAAGTGTACACATATAGGATGCGCTCCAAAAACAAACAAACAAATGAAAATAAAAAAAATAAAAGATATTTGTAGATTTATATGTAATACCAAATGTTTTTATATATATTTATATACATTTTAAATATATAATTAATATACATTCATTTATATTTACATATTTAATATATCTCAATATTTCTGTATTTATTCATAAGTGTACACATATAGGATGCGCTCCAAAAACAAACAAACAAATGAAAATAAAAAAAATAAAAGATATTTGTAGATTTATAGATCTTTATTATTAATGCTATTATTTAAAGGTAAATATGGTTTAACACCATTTTAAATGAATATACTTCACTTAATTATAATGCATGACACACTATTAGAGTAACAGAAAACTTACAAATATTTAAAAACAGTTTTAGGAAAAAAAAAGTTGAAAACAAAAACTTCTATATATACCAATATAATCTATAGAACTATTCTAAAACCAGTTTTAGTTGATTATATATGGATTTACAGAAAAGTGTGATTTTTTTCCCCATAATACTTTCCATACATTTTCACTATATTAAAGGGGTCATATGATGCTGCTAAAAAGAACATTATTTTGTGTATTTGGTGTAATGAAATGTGGAATTATATGCAATATTTATTAATTATATAAAGGGAATATAACTATACATAGTACATGCATGTTTAAATCAAAGATGCTCTTAAAACATCTTTCATAACACTCATATTAAATTTAATTTTAAATTACTAAGGAAAAAAACCCAACATCATCATTTTGGATATGTTTTAAATATTCAATACATCACCCAGTGTGTTTATGTTTCTGATGAAATCATTTTGGGAATGTCCTCAAAGAGCAGAAAACAGACTAATTAATATTTTAAATGAGTTGTAAAAGTGGTGTTTTAGAGATCAAGTTAGATCAAATTGAATCTTTATTGAACATTCATCTGTATGTTCAAAATTAAGATTTTCATACCCGTTTCTCCTGTACTCATGTCAGTAGAAAGTGATTTCTTTGTGGGTCTTCGACTGCGCATGCCGTGCCGGACACCCACAGGACCCTGAGACAAGACAACAGAACTGAAAGTGAGCTGATATGTGTGAAGAAAGAGAAAGTCCCATGTTTAACACGACAGTGGCGATGAAGATGATGCTAGATGTGCATTAATGTCGTTACATCACCTGATCTTGAGTGTGAGAGCAGTGTGTGTGTGTGTTCAACCTGGTGGTGATGAAGATGATGATGATGGTGGTGGTTGACCACATGAGAGCCGTGCATTAGTGGGGGTCTGATGGGGGGGTTATACTGGAGGGGCTGCTCAATCAGAGGAGGATACCTGCCATCACCTGTGGACACACCAACACCAATGTTATCTATCTAAACTACACCAAAAATATACAATATACACCAAAATGTAACAAAAATTCCAAAATATAGTAGAAACATTAAAGGGCTAGTTCACCCCAAAATGAAAATTCTGTCATTAATTACTCACCCTTCATGTCGTTCTAAACCCGTAAGACCTTCATTCATCTTCGGAACACAAATTAAGATATTTTTGCTGGAATCTGAGAGCTCTCAGACCCTGCATAGACAGCAATACAACTGAAATGTTCCCAGACAGAAACGTAGCAAGGAGATCTGTAAAATAATCCTTGTGACATCAGGGGTTCAACTTCAATTTTGCAAAGCTATGAGAATACTTTTTGTGCACAAAGAAAACAAAAATAACAATTTATTTAACAATTCTTCTCCCCCTAGTTACGTCTTCTGCCATTTTGGAGAGTACCCAAGAACGTAATCAGCGTTGTTTACACTTAGGGTAAAGCGTGCGTATGCGTTGTGATACTCTCCAAAATGGCGGAAGACAGTAACTCGGGGGAGAAGAATTGTTGAATAAAGTCGTCATTTTTGTTTTCTTTGCGCAAAAAAAGTATTCTCGTAGCTTTGCAAAACTGAAGTTGAACCCCTGATGTCACATGGACCGTTTTACCGATGTCCTTGCTACGTTTCTGGGAACATTTCAGTTGCGTTGCTGTCTATGCAGGGTCTGAGAGCTCTCACATTTCAACAAAAATATCTTCATTCGTATTTCGAAGATGAACGAAGGTCTTACGGGTTTGAAACGACATGAGGGTGAGTACTTAATGACAGAATTTTCATTTTGGGGTGAACGAACCCTTTAAAATGTGTCAGAAATATATCAAAATATACCAAATATATACCCAATACATACCAAAAATATGCAAGATGTACCAATAAACCTTAATTATACCGGAAATATACCAAAATTATATAAGATGTACAAAACTGTAACAAAAGTACCAGAAATTTGCCAAGAATACCAAAATCTAAATTTATATACACTCCGACTGGCTCACCTTGGCCTGGAGCGTACGGGCGGGACAACTGAGGCATGATGGGAAAGGGGGCGTGGCCAGGACGAGGCCCCTTCATATTGGCCAGATGGGTGGGAGCAGGCGATTGCACCGGAGAGGGGGAGGGGCTTAGCAGCTGCTGTGGATTATTCTAGAAAGCGAGAGGGAAAGGTTACGAATGTTGCGTCAGGTGAGAATGAGGTCACATGGGACGTGATGCAGGTGTTTGTACATGTGTGGTGTCCTGTGGCGGCAGGTCGCAGTGTTTGTAGTAACGGTTGGGTTTCCAGTGCAGTGGGGACAAGCCTCTGGGCTGCTGGCTGGGAGGAACTCTCAACTGCATCATCACCACTCCACCAGCAGGGGGCGGCGGAGGCACAGCTGAAAATCACCATGCATACTTCAGATTTTAGTACGTACTTGCACGAGATGGAAATATGTATTAAAATATATAAAGCGTATTATTAAAAATATAAGATACAAGATATGCATTGTAAAATAATTATTAATAATATTACTAAATTATGGATTGCACTTAAATAGAACAGGAATGTTTTAAAATAAATCATGTTTAATAAAAATATAAGATATAAAATATAAGACATGCATTAAAAACATAAAAAATGAAAAAACTATTACATGTCATTTGAAATTATGGATTGTTGCGCAACAAAATGCATATCAAAAATAGTAAAAATGTTAACTACGATTTTTCAAACTACATATACAGTAAATACTATATTTTTAATATTAAATTATGAATTGTGATGAAATGAAATAAATGTATTAAAATCTACTACTTTTATTACTTTTCAATGATCGATTACCTTTTTTAATAACAGTATTATTTCCATTTGTTATTTAATATAATTAATTTGTTAATAAATAAATAGTAATAAACAATAGATTGTAATAAAATAAATAAAATAGAAACGTTTTAAAATGAAAAACTAAATTGTATAATGTATTTACAAGTTTAAATGTAAATGAAAACAGTAATGGTTTTAAAATGTTATATATAATATAGTATTATTTTGACACAGTGCTTTATATGATGAAAACAGTATTATACTATATTTTATATATATACTATTAATTTATATATTAATACATTTGTCTATTAACACTGATTAAATTCAATCATTAGTCAAATTGATTCATTAAAACAATTATACTTCACATTGTTCTCTTATTTTTTTAAATTATTGTATCTCGTATAGTACTGTTGCACACATATAGCAGTATTATTCTTATTAACCTTTAGGGTTGTAAATCTTCACTACTGCATATATCATCACTGGTGTTATAAATACAATGTTTGCAACTGAATTATTCAATAACAGACAAAAACGATGTACTGTTACACACAATGCACACACACACCGGCCAATTAAAGTGCTTTATTAAACAGTGAAAGGTCAAAGAGTGTGTGGGTCTCGCCTCTTCCTCATTAAAAACACCCTCTTCTTCAGCAACATAATCATCACCTCATTCACACACACACAAACACACAGACACTTGATGCATAATTAGGCATTGAAAAAATATACCTTTTAAAATTCCAATGCATTATGGTTCAAGTCTATATTTTATAAATTTTTTAAATGCACTCAGGCTTATTACTTTTTCTAGTTGATTTGTGATTGGTCGACAAGGCTGTCATACCTGTGCACTGCTGGCCTGTGATTGGCTGAGAACCGCAGGGGGAGGGCGGTCGGGGAAACGGCATCTGCTCTGAACCCGGCGGAGGGAGGAAACCAACTGTCGAGCTGTACGATCACAGGAAGTTCACATGAGACACAAATCAAGCCCAGTCACATTCAGCGATGCTTTAATCTGATCGGCTGAAAACTGGACACACGTGTGTTACCTGATGTTAGAGTGTTGCGTTGGCGGCATCATGCTGTAATACACCTGCATGCTGGCAGAGGGCGCTGAGGCCTGATTGGTCTGTCCCTGCAGCACGATCTGTTGCTGATAGGCTGCCTGAGGAACGTTCTGAGAACCCTGCTGCACAGACACCTGCCGAACGCACACGTCACCTCATCAAAATCACTCTCAGATACCCAAAAATATTAAGAGACGCGTAAAACGCTGCACTCGCCTGATACGGAGGCATTGTAGGATACTGCACCATCACGCTCTGAATCTGATTGGCCATTCCGCCCTGAGAGCTGATCAGCGATTGGTTCGGAATCTGCTGAATTCCCATCATGCCCTGGTAACTGGGGGGTTGAGCGGGCATGACCGTCTGGAAACCTGGAAACACATTAAGACAGCAACTTATTAGCATAAACAACAGCCAACGACGAACAAACAACATCTGGGAGCAAAACATTAACGACAAAGTGCAAAAACAGAGATTTACGCAACATTAAAGCTGTAAACAACTTTTAATATCACAGTTTAATTAGGAAAAGACTCAAATATGTGAAATGAAGTAAAAGACAGTGTGAATATGAGCGGGAACAGATGGGCGTCTCGGAGCGTTCACAGTTTGTGAGGAAACAGCAGGCATTCTGAGGAAAAACAGTTGCTGACTAAGGACTGTGGCATCAAATGCGTTTTGTGGCACATTAAGTAGCAAGAATATTAGATATGCAAGTTTGTGATGTCTGCGAAATTGGTGGCCATTATAAGAAAAATCGGTTATTTATTCTGCTTTTTCCAGAAAATCAGTTATGATGACTGGATGAATGTTATTATCCATGAGCCAGACTGATAAGGTTTATAATGATCTGCTTATAAATACTACTACTACTAATAATACGTATAAATAACATAGTAGAAATAATATTATTGCAATATTTAATACAAAACAACTAAGTAATATTTAATAAATAGGTTTTTAATGATTGGCTTGAATGAATGAATAAATAAACATTGTATTATTGTTGTACTTAATATTTAATGATTTAATAATGTTTATTAAATATTAAATGCAATTTGTATTTCAAAAAGTTGAATATGTAATATATATACAAATAATATCTATACTGTAATATGGGTTTATACGTAATAATAATAATAATATAAAGTATATCATATTATTTGGTATTAATTTAATAATTTCTTTGTATTTAATAATGTTTACTAAATATTACACTTAATAAATGAATACTAAATATCTAATAATACTGAAAACATATATAAACACAATGTATAATATAATATAATATAATGCATAGGTTTATAATAATAATATGTATAAATTATTTATTTATTTGAATGCTAGCAGGGTTTTTGTGCAGATTGGGATCTATACGGTGGACCATGGCAGACCATCTAAATAAGAATAAGAATAAGAATACAAATAAATATATTATATTGGCATTAATTATTTAATGTAATAATATTTAATAACATTTATTAAATATATTCAATGAATACTATATATTTAGTAATGTTATATATATTGTATTAATTCAATATATATTTAATAAACGGGAGTGAATTTCGAGCGGGCACGCCGTATTTTTATTATCTATAATATTAATTATTTTTTGTCATAGAAGGCTAGCAGGGATTTTGTGTGGACTGTGATCTATACTAAACTCCAGTGATTCTTCATTCCTCTCCAACTTCTGCTCTCATCAGATCCAGTACAGATGAACGGACGGCTTGTTCTCTCCAGTGTGTGTGTGTGTGTGTGTGTTTGAGTACACAGCTATTTTTACCTGCCCTTGCAAGGCCAAAGTGAAGAGAATAAAAGCCTGTCGATTTAGACCATACAAGCCCCCCACACACACACACACACTCAAGCGCCTGTGAAATGGGGTCTTTCAATGTCACTGTTGACAAGATTTTTTTCCTCTTCACACACACACACACACACACACACACACACACACACACACTCAAAAACAGCAACTCTACATCCTCTTCTCCATTTTTTTCCAGTTCTTACAGACTAAAAACAAGGCGCAAAGCAGATAAAAACTCACCCGTCAACGAAACTAAAAGCCCAATTTCATTTCTAACCACAGTTGTGCATTTCCAGAAGGAAATATGAGTGATGTCGCCCACGCAGCACTTACCCACATGCATGGTTGCCATGGAGTTGCTATGTGGTTGCTAAGGCACTCTGAGAGCTTATTAGCATGTTTCTATGTAATAAAAACTAGTTTAATGATAATTAGCTAAATTAAAAGAAGTTCATTTCTGGAAACATTTATAAAAAAACTTTTGGTATTATTTTGGTTTTTATTTTATTTATTTTGGTAAAAAAATTGGCATTCAATACTTTTTTCAACATTACATTTTTGTGCTACTGCATTTCTTCTCTCCATCTTACATACTTTATTGTACTTTCCTTTTTGAATTTTGTATTTTCCTTCGATGCTAATATGACAATGAATATTTATTTGTTTATTTATTTATACTTTATTAATACATTTACGGTTTGTCATGAATATAGCCTTTGGTAATATGGCAATTCATATTTATTTATTTATTTAGTTTGTTTGTATATATATGTTTGTCATGAATACAGCCTTTGTTGATACAGTATTGAATTCGTATTTATTTGTTTATTTATTTATATAATTACTGTTCATTATGAATATAGCCTTTGGTGATATGGCAATGAATATTTATCTGTTTGTTCGTGTTTATTGCTTGTTTGTCATGAATATAGCATTTTGGATTTGTTTTCTGCACTCTGGCTCAACCTGATTGATTTTAAATGTGCTTTATGAATATTTTGACAATTTCCAGTACTAAAACTCTGTCAGCAGAACAGTGGGGGTCAGAGGTCAGAGGTGAGAGTTGAGGAGTGAGGGCTGGGAAAAGAGACCGGTTCACTGTGAGAATGACTACGAATCTCATACAGTGACACGGCCCCGTCTCCCAGCGCTCCAATCAGAAAACCCTGCCAGGAAGTGCCCACTCAGACAGGAAGTGTGTTTGTACCTGTCTGTTGCGGTAGCAGTGTCTGACTCTGGGGGGCGCTGTAGTGTACCGGCGTCACCGCTCTGTAGTGTTGGGTGGAGTGTGAATACTGTCCCGGGGCGCAGTAACACGCCGACACCTGCAGAAACACACACACACGTAAACCCTCGCCTGTGGTCACATGATGCAGGTCATGTACCATGAACGTGGGTTTGTACCTGCTGCACGGGCTGCTGGATGTATGTGTGCGGCTGCAGGACCCCTTGATTGATGGCTGTGGGATGGGGGTAAGTGTGACCGCTCATGGGCTGTCCCGCCGATGAAAGCATGTAGCCGGTGGGCGGAGGGTTCTGGAGCAGCAGGGATTGTGGGTAGAGGCCCGTGTGGGGGTCCGGAGCGTCACCCGAAGGCTGCCGAATGAGATTCATCTGGCTGAACTGGGCACTTAAACCGTCCTGTTGCTGTTTTAATACACAAGAGAACAGGTCAGATTCAGTTTAAAACACTGAAGGCCCAGTGTCGAGCTAATAACTACTAACTAAAAAAAATAAAATAAAAAAAAACCTAAATAAATATTTTGTGGTAAATAAATGTGGATTTTTATTTATTTATACAAATTTGCAAAATACATGTACAAATAAAATGTGTATATTTAATTTTTTTAATAAATATTTCATAAAAAATATTTGTTAGGAAATACTAAATATTTTATAATCTACATTATTTTACATTTGATTTTAATACATTCATTTTCTAAAATTAAAAATAATTTATATGCACATATATATTAATGTATTAAATTAATGTATGTATATACATAAAAATACTCTACTCATTACTCTACATTATTTTAAATGTGATTTCATAATACATTATTTAACATTTATACATATTTTTTTACATATCTGAAAACCAGTTTTCTATTTTAAAAAATAGTTTAAAAATGATATATATATATAAAAAAGTGTTACTCAATTTTATAATAAATATTAATTTGTTAAAACTGGCAGAAAAAATATTTTATAATTTACACTATTGTAAATGCTATTTAAAGTTATTTTTAAATTTGTGTGTATATTTATTTTAAAATCCTTTTTTATTTTAATATATGAAATTTATTTAACTTTCATTTACTAAATTATGTGAGAAAAAAAATTGAGTGAAACCAACTAAGCTATGTAGGAAATCATTGACTTATGTACTTACGTAATATTTATTTATTTAATATCAATTACTACTTTTAATACTACTAAAATGATTTACTCAAGGCCTTGTGGGTGGGAAAAAAATAATAATCAATAATGTCAAAGTATAAATTTTGAAATCCAAATAAAAATTTTTTTTCAAATATAAATTAAATAATTTTTACAATCAGTCAATCTCTCTCATTTGAAACCCAAGAGTCCGTCTTCATTTGATTATGCAACAAAAGGAGATATTTTTGAAGAAGTGGAAGTGGATCACACGCTTTCAAAAACTAAACCAGGGCGTCACATTGAGGACTTTAAGCTTTAAAAACCAGCACAGATCAAAGTCCGGCCCACCATCCACCAGGACCAGAGACCCTGCTGGTATCACAACTGCTACACATCGTTTTATTAAAAAAGTAACAACATCTGGTGCCATTAATTATTGATGTGGTCTGAATTTGTTAAGGAGGGTGTTATATTTGGTAAAAACGGGTCACACAGTAAGAAATGACAGAAGTGACCCAATTAAGTCATGAGCCCCTCCGCCAGGCACAGCCAACTCACATGGGGCTCGTTTCCTAAGTTTGGAGAGATTAATCAATAAAAGTGACAGAAATAAACCGCACTTTCTTTGGTACCCTGTGACACACTGAGATCAGAAACTGGATGGCAACAGAATATAGAAAATAAAAATAAAAATGTAAAAATTACAGAGAATAGAAAATAGGAAGAAAACAAAAACAAAATATTAAAAGGGCCATATTGTACACTTTAGTAATAATATTTATTTGTATCATAAAGTGAGCGTATTAAAATAAAATAAAAATCTAAAAATAATTAAATAATTTTAAATTGTATTAATTATATTATTTTTATTATAAATAATAAAAAACTATAATAAATACAATTATAAATAAAAATGAAACATTTTAAAATGTAAGAGTTGTGAATATTCTGGTATGTATGTATCGCATATTAGACTTTTTTTGGAAGAAAAAAAAAACTACAAAAATTATGAAATCGAAATAAAAATAAAAACACATTTTAAAATGTAAGAGTTGTGAATATTCTGGTATGTATGTATCGCATATTAGACTTTTTTTGGAAGAAAAAAAAAACTACAAAAATTATGAAATCGAAATAAAAATAAAAACACATTTTAAAATGTAAGAGTTGTGAATATTCTGGTATGTATGTATCGCATATTAAACTTTTTTGGAAGAACAAGAAAAAAAGAAAAGAAAAAAAACTACAAAAATTATAAATTAAATATAAAATGAAATATAAATAAAAATAAAAACAAATTTTAAAATGTAACAGTTGTGAATATTCTGGTATGTATGTATCATGTATTAAACTTTCTTGGAAGAACAAGAAAAAAAAATACAAAAATTATAAAAGAAACATAAAATGAAATATAAATAAAAATACAAACAAATTTTGAAATGTAAGAGTTGTGAATATTCTGGTATGAATGTATCGCATATTAAACTTTTTTTTTTTTTTTAAGATTTATTTTTGCCGTTTTTGCCTTTTATTGATAGGATAGTAGTGAGACAGGAAGCGAAGTGGGAGAGAGAGGGGGATGGGATCGGGAAAGGTCTGCGAGCCAATAAAAATAAAAACAAATTTTAAAATGTAAGAGTTGTGAATATTCTGGTATGTATGTATCGTATATTAGACTTTTTTGGAAGAACAAGAAAAGCCTAAAAAAATTATTAAATACACTATAATAATAAAATTGTAAATGAAATATAAATTCATTTTTAAAAGTTGTGAATATTATGGTATGTATGTATTCATATATTGAACTCATTTCAAAAGAACAAGAGAAATCTTTCCATGATATAGCCTCTTTAATAAATCGAGGGAAAAAGAGAAAAGAAACGTTTCCAGAAGGACAGTGAAGGAGGAGAGAAGTACCACAGTGTATTGTTGAGTGAAAGCACCAGGCAGCAGAGGAGCACAAGAGACCGCAGCAAACTGCACCGGCTGAGCAGACGACTGCAGAGGACAGAGAAGGAGGAAGAGACGATCAAAGACAACCATCAGAGAAACCGCACCGAAGGACAGAACGAATGACAACTGAAGAGAAATAGTAACCGCTAAAGACAACAAACAATTTCACTAGCGCCATTCACAAGCCAAAAATATAAGGAGAAAAAATACTTCAATTACCAATATATTGCCAAAACATCAAATAAAAACAACAGTAGTTGACCATTGCGCTGTACAAAAAGACAAAGGATAATCCGTTCAGAGCTTTAAAAAAAAACAAAAAGCTAAATTTTAAAATCAATTCTATTACAAATCGGCAGCCAGTGCAAAGAGTGTGATATTGGGGAAATTAGATCAAATGCATTTTGAACCTTCTGAAGACGACTAATATGGGATAGACTCGTTCCAATATAAAGAGAATTACAATAGTCAAGTCTAGATGAAATGAACGCATGAATCACTCTCTCAAACTCTGCAAATGTTAAGAAACTCTTAGCCTTACACATCAATCTTAATTGAAAAAATAGATTTAACTACAGCATTTATCTGACATAATAAATACCATTTACCACATATAATATTTTTGTGTTATGACAGATAATCAATATGATGACTGATACTTTAAATGTATAAATGATAAACAAAGGATGAATGAGAATAATAAACTACATTTTTTGTGCTATTGTATTTTTAAGCATGACTATTGAAACAGAGATACTGACAGCCATTTAGTATATTGTTACAGCCCATAACCAATATGATGACTACTATTTTAAATATTGCTTTTACTGTAGATGTTCAAAGATTATTCAATTATAAAAAATTATATATAATAAATCATAAAAGAAAAATTTAAGTAAATTCAATAAAGAAATATATATTTGTAAAAATCTGACAAATTCAACTTAATTAAAAAAAAAAGAAAAACTAAACTAAATCATATAAGATATTTTGAAAATAAAAATAAAAAATATAAAAAACTAGATTGAATAAAATGATAATAAAAAATATAGATATAAATATAGATACAGATATAGAATAAAAATACTATATTACAATAGGATTATTTAAATATAAAAAATAAAGAACAATTTGACTAAATGTAATAAATTTAAATATAAACATGTTAAAAATAAGATAAATTCAACTAAATAGAAAATAAGAAAAACTAAATGAAATTAACTAAAACAATCATTTAACATAAAAATGAAAAAAGAAAATTAAATCAAATAAAATTAGATAAAAACATTACAAATAATACGATATATTAACCTAAATTAAAAAAGGAAAACTAATAAATATAAATTTAAATTGAATATAAAAATTAAAAATTAAAAAGTAACTAAACTGAATACATTTAAATATAAACATTAAAAATAAGAAATTCAACTAAAATGTTTTTATTTATTTTAATTATTTATTTTAATACAAAATACCTGAAAACACATTAATTAAAATGAATTTAAATAGAAAATTATTAAAGAAATAGAAAAAGAGCAAGTTAAACAAAAATATTAACAAAAAATTTAACTCAAATAATTATTTAAATATAAAAATATCCAAAATAATAAGAAAAATGAAACATATTTTTGAAAAAAAAAAAAACATGTTTTTCCTGACCTGTGCTAGAAGGTGATTGGCTGGCTGAGGTTGAGGGGGAGGAGGAAGAGGTTCAATATAAAAACTCCCAAATAATAAGAAAAGCTAAACATTTTTGAAAAAACATTAGTTTTTCCTGACCTGTGCTAGAAGGTGATTGGCTGGCTGAGGTTGAGGGGGAGGAGGAAGAGGCGGAGGAGGAGGGGGAGGATGTAGAGTCATGTGCTGCTGGCCCCGCCCCTGCAGTGATGTCATGGTGGGGTTGTAAACCACCGGACTGCCATCGGGGTTCACAAAAGGCTGACCTGTAGAAGACAAAAACACTCTGAAATCCAACTCTGCATTTACGAACTCGATTTCATTTGCACAACAATGAATTAGTATGAAAAGTTAGTATCGCGAATAAGATCTGATGCAGCATAACCTCCATCCTTTGAAGTAAGTGTTGGTCAGCTGGTACCAACCTGTCTGTGGATTGAGCAGCATGCTGCCCGGCGGGATGGCGGTGCTGTCCACAGGAACGATGTAGAAGCTAGCGTTAGTATTAATGTTAGCGTTAGTAGTCGTGCTCTGAGGGGCCGGGGCCGGGGCCGGAAGAGGGGCCGCGGGGGCCACGGTGAAGCCCCGACCGGGCTGGGGTAGAACGGGGGCGGGTAACGGCAGCTGAGACGGCCGAGAGAGCGACCCGGAAGAGGAACCTACGCTACTAGAAGAGTCTGAACCTGAAGGAGGTGAAGAACGAAAGAGTTTTTACTGTCATATACAAGATAGGAGATGAGGGAATGAGTGAAGGAGGGGTTGATGGGCGGGGCAAAAAAAGAGATGACAGGAAATGATGTCATAAGAAAGGAAAAATAACCATGCATGGTGGATGAAATAAAAATCAGCCCAAAAAAGATAAATCTGACGAGTTCTTCTAGATATTATTTTCAATAACGAGCATTATTAAATTAATTATTAGTTTTTATTATTAATTTGATTAAATCTTTATTACTTTTGCATTCATTTTCATATTCATTATTTTAGATCTATTGTTTTATCTATTGTTTTTTATTGATAATTAATATGAATAATTGTATCTACTTTTAATTATTTAATATTATTAATACTTATTATTATTGCTACTTCTATTTTTTTTTTTTACGGATTTATCCAGAATAGTCTGAAAAAGAATCAACACGCTGAAAATAACTACTTAAAATAATCTGATTAAAAATGAAATAAAATTTAACAAAATATTGATATGACTGCAAACCACATAAGGGATTTTTTTATTAGTAATTAAATTAAAAAATAATTTAATTATTTTACATTATTTTAAAAGAATTAAATTATTAATTAATAATTAATAATAAAATAAAAAAACGATTACTAAATAAAATAAAGAATTAAATTAAATAATAAAATTAAAATAATAAATACACAATTTCTTATCTGATGTTTATATCTTGAAGCAACCAAATAAATAAATAAAAATAAAATCCTGATGAAACCATCGGAAAACAACACCATTTGCAATCATTTGAAGGGCTGTTCAAATGTAACTGGGCAGGAGGAAAGATCCAGCGGTTGCTAACGGAAAAGGAGCATCATTAAATATTAAAAGTGATAAATATATATTGCCGTCGACTCCTTGAGCTTCTAAATGCCAGCGCATAAATAACCAATGAACCCTGAGAGCAGACGGCTCTGAATATCAATGTGTTCTCTTAGCTGTTTCTCGATGGACATGAAATGAGTGAAAAGAGGGCAAAGAGATGCTTTCCGCCTCACACATGCACATTCTCAATGTACGGCTTGAAGCATGAACAGGAAATGATGCAAACAAAAAAGAAGGTCTTCAAAAGAAAAAAAAAACGACGAGCATAGCAAAGCAGGACTGGGATAGTGAAAGTGAAAATACACTTGGTGGTATTTGGACACTTAAGACAAACTAGAATAGATCTAAAAAAAATACAATAAAAATGTCTTGATTACTTCAGTAATTCAGAGGTTGGAAACTCTTTATAAACACTGACAGTAATTCCAACATGAACTGTAGTCTGTAACAATTATATTAGCTTTATTTAAAAACCACAGACATGTAGCGATGTACGATATATCGGCGACTATAATCCGTATGGACGAATATTTAAATTGTTTATTAGAAATTTTAACTTTAAACCATCTGTACCGGTCTGGGCTGCATTTCTCGATAACGATTGATCTTAGAACTGTAGTAACAATTATATTAGCTTTATTTAAAAACCACAGACATGTAGCGATGTACGATATATCGGCGACTATAATCCGTATGGACGAATATTTAAATTGTTTATTAGAAATTTTAACTTTAAACCATCTGTACCGGTCTGGGCTGCATTTCTCGATAACGATTGATCTTTAGCGCTTAAGAGCGTTTTCTAGAGTCAATTTACGATCGTTTTGCTATTGTTTCACGTGCGT